GTTTTACTTAAACACTCAGTGCTGCCGTGTTACATTGTTCTGGAAAAAAAAAGGTGAATGCAAATTGTAGGGGGTGGGGTGGGGGGATGTGGAAACAATCTGGAGCATTTAATTAATTTGCCAATTTGTTCTGCTAATTTAACATTTTCAGTATAATGTGGGAATTTACATAGCTAATTTCCTCTGAACAATCCCCGACGCGTACTGTCATCGCCTACCTAGCTGATAATGTGTACCATCGGGTACATGCCAATGTAAGTCTTTCAGTCTCAAAAATTACTATTAATATTAGGAAAATTTGTGGTAAATGCTCTACTGCCTCATCAGTGTTGTTGCATCAACTACCGAAAAGCCATTTCCTCAACATTCCTCTCAAAGTAACAAAGAAATTCCCTGCGCTCCTCAAAGGAATGTTGAACTAAATTGCACTAAATGACCAAAACGAAAATGTAGGCCTCGCCCGTTATTCGCGCTGCGCCAGCAGGTTGTGTGTTCGAGATCCCACGCGACGCATGCTTAAATCCTCCATCTTTTTGTGTTAGCAGCTGATTGCTTGGCTCTGCTGTCACCGCACTCCTCAGCTTCGAACCGCAGGAGTGCAAAGCTGGAAGATTAAGCGGCATCCAGAAGTGCCGGGCGGTTCTGATTGGTGGCGGGTTTGAATGCGGGGACAGATGTTGAGGTTCTGCAGTGCTCCGTTCTACGCCCGTAACATTCGCCTTCCCAGCATTCTCTGGAAATAGCCGGCAAAGACCGGCCGTTGCATGTAATTCACACGCACAACAGGACAGGTTGTTACAGACCGGTGCCGACCGGTCACAGCCGGTCGCTCTGGGGCGAGGAGCGAAAAAAAGGGGCTCGTTTGAGAATTTTCACCCATTTACAGCCACCTGCCAAAATCACGACAATCTGATGACAGGCCAAGATGCCTTGAACTCGTTGCACCGGCCAAAATAGAAGAGCAAACGCCTGTATTGCACGTTTCCAGCCAAGCATGCTAGATGAGCGTTAAGCAGAAGGCTCATATATATGTGACATTTCTGTGTTAAATATGGGCCACCCTGCCAGAATGTTTTTCAGCATTTTACATCAATGCTGTTCTACAGCTCTAGAAAAAAAATGACGGCCCATATATATTAAACAAATCTGCATTTTTTAATATCCTGGTTTGATCCTGGTTCTGCTGGCAGGAGGCTACGCTGCGAGACAGGCTGCTTCCAGGCTCAAAGTTTCTAAGACACAAGGTGAAGCAGGAGACACTGGGAACGACCAGGAACCAGCCAGGTAAAAGGGAGGAAGCGGCATTCTAATGCCAGAGATGACCGTCAACTTATCCGACAGTTTCTCATGAATCGTAGGATGACATCAGGTGACCTTCAAAAGGAATGGTGCAGGTGTGAAGTGCACTGCTAGGTCAGTGTGTATCAGGCTCCTAGAAGCAGGACCAAAGTCCCATAAAGCAAAGAAGAAGCCCTTCATTAATGAGGAAAAAAATAATAACATATATGTATGTATTATTCACAGACACACATCATTTAATAGAGAAATGGGTGAAACATTAAATTGTGCTGCGGTCTCTTAATTAATTCCAGAGCTGTATTTTGATGCAGGAAAAACTGCAACCAAAGTACAATCCATGCTATGTCTTCTATCTAGCATTTTTTTTTGGGGGGGCTCTTGTTGCCTAACACCAGGGTTAAGCATTGGATGTGACTGACACCCCCAGACTCTGTGTGTCTGTAGTTCGCATGTGGCTAATTGAATTTGGCATTCATATAGTTTGTCTGTAGCGTGTGAGTGTGCCGATACGGTGAGACTGACCAATCAGCACGCAGCAAGAACTCAGTGCTCAAGTGAAATCCGGGTCCGTTTAATTGAAATGGTAATTTACAATTCCTGTCCAAGCTCGGAGTGTCCTCCCTGCCCTGGGCTAGTGGGTAAGGGTGATGCATGCGCGTTTAGCTTGCGACACAGCGGCACGCAATCTGAGCGCGTCACACTTCTTTAATTAGATTAATGTGATTTGTATTGTCGCACCTCATCTTACAAACGCGCACAGAACCATGTCAATCTAAACGCGGTTCGTTTGATGTATTAATAATACTAAAACTGGTGCCGTTTTGATGAAGATCTTCTTGACAATACTCTCCTGATGAGCTGGGATATGGTTAAGAGAGCAGGTACATTAGCGCGGCGATAGACACATTTGTCCGCCGCAAACATTCTGGAAAAGCACCATCAAGAAGCAGACGAAGCCGCAGTCAGATGACTAGCCGTAGGCCATTAAAAATGCCTTTATCCTGAAAGAATACAATTATGCTTTGTAAAGGGATGTATAATGTTTCACTGTTCGAGGAAACCATCTGAGCATTTTCCAAATAAAACACCAAGGTTCCATCCGCCCCATCACCAATTATTAAATCTGATAGGATGGGTCAAATTTTTCAGCTGGCAAACTAGTTCTCTGTCCACTGTAATATGAATACATCTGTCTATATGCAGTGCTGCGTGCAAAGGCGTAACTTCGGCTGGAACATGGGGGGGGGGGTTGAGGTCTCCACCCATTACGGGGGAAACATGATTATTGGGGGGGTTGTATTAGCTGGTTTTCATTTATTGGGGGTGCTACAACCCCCCATCCCCCCCATAATTTACGCCCATGCATGCTGCGTGCCTTAGAATGTTCAAGATCATTTAGGACGCATTCGCTCAGCTGTCACTCACATCCAAGGTAAACTTTAACCAAAACAGTTTAACTGTAATCGTTCCCTTTCTCGTCTTACAACATTGTTGCATTTCATACACGTTTTACAAGAAATTATCTCCATTTCGTGGGTTTAAATGTGATTTTAAAAGTACCCCTCCAATTCACTGATAATATACAGTCAGAGCCCAAAGACAATAGTATGGGGAGCTGCTGGATGTCCTCCTGTTTAATTGTGATGTTCTCTGGTGCCAGCGAGATGCTGCGTTCTACTTCCTCCACACTGGCATAGCCGTTAGCCCAGCTGGTGCTATTTCGTCTTGTGGGCGAAGGCAATGGGAAGGAGGGTCGGACCAAATTCACGGGAGGAGGGCGTGGACAGCGGGGAACCGGAGAGGATCCAGACCACGAGAGGAGGACGATCTTATCCGCCGACCCACGTGTGCCCCGCGTCACATTTAGCATTTTAAAATCCGGTTATATGTGATCTATTGAAATGATTCTACTGGATTATAAATCTGCTGAAGGGCTTTCAGACATCAGCTTCCAAGCTAAACCTTACTGCTTTCTGGTTATCTCGAAGTTGAGAGTTGGCTAGGATAGAAACTAGAAGTTGAATAAAGAGCTAAATCTATCTTCATTTTATTATGAATTGCTTAAAACCTCCCCGCCGTGATTCAGTGCACATGTGCGTGAAATCTCGCCTCGGAGATCACCTGTCATCATTCATTCCGTCCATGCAGCAAACGCTTTATGGATTCCTGTGCTCGGCGCCGTAGCCTTTGTACCCCCGGGGATGCTGCTGTGAGGGAGGCGAGGAGCAGCTACGCCGCTTTTCCAGAAATTCGTAACGGGTCTTAAACATAACCTGCCCAAGGCAATTAAGGTGACACAGGCCGGGACATGACAGCACAAGAGTAGAACACAGTGTGTCTGCGGTACGAAGAGAAACAGCACGGCAAAACTTTTACTGTTATTACATTGCACGGCGCCTTGCTTCTATAGATAGACGAGAAATATCTTGAGGCGATTATATATTCTGTTTGTCTCCTGCGAACTGCTCTTTGGTCCATCAACAGAGAAATCAATGTAATCAACTACATTTAGAAGAGAATCTTAGTCAGACGCTGTCAAATTCTGCACAAGCGAGACATACAGGCAGGTTATATACAACATATCAACATGATATATCGCCACATCTTCATCTGAAGTCATTGGGCTGTTTAATCGAGGTTTTATTTACTTGTGTTACCAGGTATATACCTGGTAATATGTTAGCTAAATAAATAGACGGAAGTTGTCGATAAAAACAGACAGGCCTACTGGTAATCAAATCCTTCTATGCAGTAATATAATATTATGTTTTAGATATTGGCTGTGCTTAATGGCATATTAACTCAACCTGTGTTTGGACTTTAAAGACTTAACCAAAACTAAAAGGTGTGTAGGCCTATAGATCCAGATTAACTAGGCCTACTGTTGATCACCTTTACTTAGATAAAGGGGCATATTTTGCATACACTTTGAGTCGTCCAATTAAACTCCCATATTCCTGTTTTTTTTTTTTTTAGATGAAGTATGTGTTGTGTATGCGATCTATAAAAGATTTCCTCTAGAGGAAAGGGGGAAATGTGAGGTGTTTTGATGCAATATGCAGCGGGGTATTTTTAGAATAACCGCAGAAGTCATCATCCAAATACCGCACGTTGTGGGAGGACATCTTGGAGATACAGCTAACTTTGACAGTCCCTCTGAGGTCTGTGTTATTCGTAACGGAGTCGGCACGGAGTAAGTGGGAACAGACTGAATAAACATGAAGATGGTGCCGCCCCCTCCGGTACCAAGACGACGGCGCACGAGGATTCAAAGCCTCTTTTACCTTCCCTAATCAGGAAGTGAGTGGAGCATCCCAACGCTGCGTTATGAAGATTTGTGCGATAGAATAATAAAACAATGACAATCAAAGCTAACGCTCTGATCATTCAGGAGCTGGTGTGTTTGTACCCGAGAAACAAGCTGCAAATGTTACAAAATATGTCATGTAATCTTTACATGAAGGATTCAGAACGTGCACATAATTTGAGACACACAAATCAATTGTGCCTTCTAGTGGTGATTCCAAAAAAAGTCGTTTATTAACCTGCATGCTTTCAGATGGCTTTTAAATTATATGATTATTTTTTATTTAAAACAACTGCCTTTTAAACACAGAAACCTTCTTTGCTAAGGAAATTCAAATGAGCATGGAATTTTGCATAGGTAAGGAGCAAAAAAAAATCCCGAACTCTTTACTTACGATAGAAGACATATTCTGTGTAACTGGACCAGATCTTGTCCTCTGTGTATTGATTGACAAACGATGCAGTAACCGAGGAGTTACAGGCGACCATCTGGAATCCACACTCGGACAGCATGTCAAATGCTCTCTCTAGGTGTTTGAACTTAAGGTAAAACCTGGATGTATATCTGTCCGGGGTCCTGTCCGGATCTCGGCTTTCATTCAAGGTTTCCCCGAAGACTTCTTTGGCTAAAGCGATTCTGCCGGAGATCATAATCCTGGGCACTCTTCTGAATTTCGCGTCCCGCTGGCTCTCCCGGTTCAGGGTGCAGGAGCCCCGGTACCCCACCGTGATGAACCCGTACCTGCGGTCGCTCACGCCTAAAGACGGCGGACACATTTTTTGGTCGCTGCCTTGGGAGATGTCATCGATGTCGCTGTGGAAATAGTCATCCGGACTTTGCTTGAAGTACTCTGGGGTGAGGATTTTAACCAGCTCCGGAAGCTGATAATATTCTGCTTCGCGCTTTAGTCTTCCTCTCTCTGGAAAGTGGTCGGGAAGGACGATCTGCTTATCTCTTAGATAATCCAATACGTACCGAAACAGAAAGCCATCTCTGTCGATAAAGTAGCGTCCTTTGGGATCTCTGGCTAGATCCTTTAAATTGTCTTTTTTGGGAGAGAATATCTTACCAAGCAGCGAATTGGGCGCGCTTATTAGGGTGGCGTGGCGGGTGTAGTAGACCTGTCCTCCGACGTTTAGCTCCACGACGTCGGGGAAAGAAGTGGGGGTAGACCCCTGATCCTTGTTTTGCGGCTGGGATCTGCTGTTACCGCTCAGGGCCATTATTTCAGTCATGCATGCGAATGCCTGCAAAGCTAAAGTCGCGAAGAATGCTGGCTGTGCGGCCAAAAAAGTAAATGTGGGTATTTAATTACTGGGCGATTTTCATAAAAAAAAAAAAAAAATCACCGAATATCATACCAGAATTTAAACATCTAATCCGAAAGTCAGAATTATATTCAACCAGAGATATAGGCTATATTTTAAAGCTATACTGTTGTACAAAATGGTTATATTTTCTCTTACCAGTCAGCTATATTAAGAGTTAAATATAGATTGGTAAACCCCATTTGGTCAATATACTGTAAAGAACAGTTTATACAAAAATCTAGGTTACTTCAAAATATGCAGAAGCGTATAAAGCCTTTGAACCGGTCGCCCTGCCTCTTCTGCCCGTCGATGGTAGTAGGGAGGGATGCTTGGCCAATTTCTCCTCTGTAATATTACCCTAAATAGCATGACACGGTAATTCGTGCATTATCACGCCCAAGATTTATTAAACACGGTCAACACTGTTGGCCACTTGGAAAACAAATCTCACCCTAGTCTTAAAAAAAGCACTGGATATTACATTATTCCTGCAAAAGTTCACAGCAACTTGAGTAATCCGTGGAGTATAGCCGAGCGGCTTTGTCACCAGTAGTTCATGTCAACTTCTCCGGTTAAAGAAAAATACACGATGACCCGTCCGAGATAACTTGAGAGATAAAACACCAACTCGGGTCTCTGGACCGATGCCGGACACTTCATCTGTCCCTGCTGGAGTTGATTTGCTTCGTGTCTCCACGATCAGCTTTTATTTCCAGCGCAGCGGTTAAACGGCTTTATAAAGGCAATGCTGTGAGTGGGTTTGGCCGGAGCCTGCAGGGGATCCTTCCGATGTCTTGCGAGCAGCGCTGGCAGCACAGTAAAAACGTCTCTGCTGATGTTGTTTCAGCGGTGCAGGGATAAACCATCACGGGGAATAAAGTCTTACATCATCTTAAAGGAAAACACCATCTGCAATTTCCTACGCTCTCTTCGTCCATCGCAGTTCATCATTTGAACTTTTTCCACAATGACAATATTTAACTAGAATAGATGTTGAAAGAGCATTGTTAATTCGACATATTTCAAATTCCGACCATGTTTGTCAGTATCATACACCGAATGACTGACACTGACTCCTCTCACCGAGTCAGGCGCGTCCTGGTTTCAGGACCACGGACAGAGACTGGCTATTTCGAAATATCTGCTTTTGTCAATGATGTGAAGCCTGTCAAACTGCCAGCTGTTTTTCGGTTTGCAACCCACTGAAAGGTTACGTGGCTTTATCCTTTTTAGCGAAAAACTGATTTTATTTAACGATTTATTTGTCTTCTCCTTGGTTCTATAACGATAATTTTGCGGTCCCATGTATTTTTGGTTGATGTTCTTCTCTTCGTCTATTTTAATAGAATATGAACATCGTCGTCTGGGGAACAAATATGATAAATTATATAGCTAACAGTCAAAATCCTGAAGAGGTGATATCCATCCGTCCATCATCCGTCCGTGTTTTCAGTACAGGGCCACGGGAGTGATCTGGAGTCTGTCACAGTCAACAGGGCAGGGGATGCACCCTGGACAGGGGGAAGGGATTTCACCCCCAAATCTGGAGGTGTGAGTCGAGATGGGTGTAGTCTTCAGTTACTTATAGGGCGGCTTCCTGCGCTATTTTACAGCTGCATTGTAAAGATGACATACCGAAAAGACGTGGAAGAGAATAGGACTTTGTTCTTTTCATCTAACGAAATGAATCTCTAGAACTAAGAAAATTAAAAATATCTAAGGTGTCCAATGTGTCGAATTTCCTATTGTGAGAAAAAGTGATGTATAGCAATCACATATTTACATATTTAATAGGTTTATGTATATGAAAGATGATACATTTGGTTTCCTTTAATTAAAAGTGATTGGGTAGTATAACGGTCAGAGTTTATCTCTGCTAGAAAACATGTAATGTATTCACAAATATTCAAAGGTGCATCATGTTGAGTTACTTTCAAACAATAGCTGTATAAAAACCACATACACTGTAGCGCCAAAAGTCACGCATAACCCACACTTATCATTGCCACAGCCTTACGATCTCCACCAACAAACAATGGCTGCAGAATGGGTGGTCATACAGAGGAGGTTAGTGACCTTTAACCTGGCACAATCATCGAATGCCATCTTTCTAATAAATCAGTTTGCCAAATTTCTCCCCTGATAGAGCTGCCCTGGTCAACCTGAAGTGACGTGACTGTGAAGTGGAACCATCTGAGAGCAAGTTCACCTGCAAAGTTGGGGCCACACAAGCTCACAGAGAGGGACCTGATCACCCAACATCGATACCCAACCTGAATGGCAGCAGATCCCACCAGCGATGTCCAACATCTAATGGAAAGCCTTCCCAGAAGATCAGAGGCTATTATAGCAGCTAAGGGTGGACCTACTTTCATGTTAAACCCCATTGTTTTGGGATTGAAATGTTAGACAAGCTGCACTCTCAGGAAAAGGGTAAAAATTTGTACCTTTGCTTTGCACTGGGGCTGTACCCTCAAGGGTCTGCAAATTGTACCCTTAGCTGTAGGTACTTGTACATTTTAGGGAACATTTCTGTGCCATTGATGGTATATTAATGCTGTTTGTACCTCTGGGATTTTTCCATTTCTGTACCATAAAAGGTACAATCACAAGGATACAGCCCCAGTGGCAAGCAAAGGCTTTTTTCTGACACTGTAGAGTCCGCAAACTTTGGCCGTACAGTGTAGGATTGCTGGCGCGACAGTGTTTCAGTGCCTTATAGCTGATCACGGCAGAAAGTAGGACCAGTAACCAGTTATATGTCTCATTCAGGAGCACTTATTGTCAGTCTCGAACGGCAATGCATACTTGTCTGCTACTTAATCGCAAGCCGTTTGTCATCTGAAGAGAAGCCGTCCGCCGTGTCAGTTCGACGCTGCGATGCTCATTTCAGCCCCTCGAGTCTGATTCAAAGATAATGAAAAAGTCAGGATTCTCCGAAGCTTAAGTCATTCTCCCGCGTTCATCTTCAGAGACTCTGAAAGCCCTTGCGCAGACATTTGTAAGTAGGCCACTGCTGTAATCATAAATACATGCATGATGATTTTTTTTCCCCCCTATACACTTTTTTTTAAAGCAATACAGCCAGTCAGTTGTCTTTTCATTATGGCAGGATTTATTNGGGGGGGGGGGGGGGGAATTGACTTGAACTAATTGCCCACATGCTTGCTTTAGGAAATGGCGTCACGGATCTGTGCATTGCGTTCACGATGACACGCTTTTTTGCTCCTCATTCTTTCTTTCTTCACTCGTTCAGGATGGCCACATCTCAGCCGGTTTTCATCAGCACGTCTACAAAGCAGCGTTCCAGAAAAGCACATCGCAGGCCTCTCTATGAGGTGGATGTGAAAATACTCTGGGCCGGTCTCCTCTGAGATCTTCTGTTTTAGTTAAACTGAACACACTGCAATGCTTCACCAAGGATTGTCAGGACCCCGCTTTAGAAATAATTACCCTTCTTACAAAGTCATAGCCCTGGGGACGTAGGGGAATAGTTCAAAGGGCTCCCCAGAACCTCAGAGTTGGGATTGGGTTTTAATCTTTTATCAGCAGGGGTAGTGAGCTCCATTTTGTCCCAATGCACACCGCCCGGGCTGATCTCAGCCTCCGCTGAAGCCAGGCAGATAGTTTTCAAATCTGATGATTATCGGGGAGCGTGTATTGGAAGAAATTTGGTAAATCAGGTGTTTGTTCGTACTTGTTTAGCCATTGTCACACCGGATGAATATGTCTCTGTCTCCTTTCAGATTTTGTTGCTTTGTCAATAACAATGTTTTCACAGTTTTTCGGGGATTTAGAATATAGTTGGACTGAGAAACCAACTGAGGCTTATTTGGGTAAAATCTAACTACGGTACAGCATCCATATTCATTCAGTTAAATGGCTGCATCGCCTGTTCCATTCAACCTTTCGTCTGATAACTAAATTAAATTATTCCACAAGCTTCAAAATCCGGTGCTACGTATCTCCTGGACAAGCCTCATGTGGTCTATGCTCAATTAGTCAGAGGTAACTTTGATAATCAGGGATTTATTTATCTGTAATGTGCCCACTGTACTGCAGAAAAATATGAAAAAGGAGCATATACTATGGTATATTTGGTCATAATGATTCCAGTAGACTAGCAGTTAAAAAAGAAATGTTAACAGCAGCTGCGTGGAAACTGAACAGCTGCATTGAGTTATGTTCTTCTTATTACTGGTCTAAAGCTGCTCTACAGCTTTTGGACAGAGATACATTTTGCCTGCTAAAGTAGGTCTCCTTCTCTCCTGGGACACACATGGGGGCTGTTTTAACATAGAGCCCAATGCACATTAAGGGCTTGGCAGACAGTCCTGGATATGAACTAAGTGACACAGGCAGACTGGTAAAGACCTCACAGTGCTTATCCTCCTATCAACGGCTTTCTGGAAGCGACCGCTGGCCCATTATCCGGAGGCTTTGATTATGCGCTGAATGAGGGTCCTGACCCGGTGCGTTTGCTGAATCGAAAGCTGAAACAGAGACCAAAAATACAAGCTAAAAGCTATTGTGGTATACCTTATGGTATTACCATTTTGTTGCTTTGCATTTTTTATATATATAGAATGTATATTCAGCATATATACCATATATTTTGAAAATGATATATATACACACATACATACAATACATGTGTGTGAGTATAATATGTATATGTATATCACAATATAACCCGTATATTTCGATATGGTGCGCATAATTTTTTTAATATAAAGATCTGTGGATCAAAAAATAATCAAAAAACGAAAAATCCCAAAATGCACAAAGTCTTGTATTTCGTTTGGTTACTTACGGTTAAGGTTAGGGCTGGGTTAGGGTTAGGGTTGTCATTGCTGGGATTAGAGTTTTGCCCATAGAGATGAATGGAGAGTCCCTCCAAAGACATGATTTAAAATGTGTGTGTGTGTCTGCGTGTGTATGTTTGTGTGTTCGTGTGTTTGTGTGGGTGTATATGTGTCTGTGTGCGTGTGTGAGAGTGTGTGTGTGTGTGTGTGAGAGAGAGAGAGTGTGTGTTTCTGTTGTGTGTCTTGCATTTTTCACATTTTTACCACAAGCACATAGTCATCAGTACAGGGTCGATCAGCTATGCTGTGCTATGTTTCATAAAGGTTTTACTTTAATTATTTAATTAACCTTCATTTAAAATTCTGCTTGAAAAGGCTGAGCTTCTCCACAGCACCAGAAAAAAAAACAATCCAGAAATAATCAGTCACTGATGTTGCCTTCTGCTTAGATGCTGGGACTTACTGGAAAACCTCAGGTTGCATTCAAGGACACCCAAGTCCTTTAGTGGTATAGAGCAGCTATTCTTGGCAAAAAAGGCCGATGTGCAGGCCAGAACCTTTTAGCATGTGACACATACATGGGATATCAGCTTGCCAGGTCAGTTGGTGCTTGATGCTGTTTGCCAAAGCAGAACGGTGTACAGTGTGGAGATGATTTTTCCAGACAGTATTTAATTACAGTACTGCAAGATTTTGGTTTTGCAGCTGAAATGCAGTGCATTTGTTTCTTGAATATGCTCCAATAATTCCCAATGTGACAGATCCTCTTCGTTTTATAGACATGCTATATATGCCATCCCTTTGCATTACTGAATTTAACACTGACTGTGTCGATTTTGCACATTATTTTAACAAAGTGTTGCTAAGCAGCATAATTTGCCAGAAGAGCAAGCCTAGCAAATTTTGGCACTGTCATTCTCTCTTTCGTTGCTTAAAGCTGTTTCGATGTTCTTTTTGCAACATAAGCTTGCTGTAGGAGGGAAGTGGCTATGATGCCAGGAACTCAACAGCACTCAAACTTAAAGGCTTCATCTAATAAACTACAAACATAGGAATGGACCTTAAAAGGCAAAATAGAAAACTACCAACACATCAACAACTTAGCGAACTTTGTCCTCGGTACTTGACACCTCGGAGACCCGGAGTGGAAAAAACCTCTTCCGTCATGGATCTACTCCATAGATCTACAAAAAACGTCGG